CTCGGCACTGGTGAGGCCGCACCTCGAGTGCTGTGTTCAGTTGTGGGCCCCTCACTAGAAGAAGGATGTGGAGATTGTGGAGCGTGTTCAGAGCAGAGCCACAAGGATGGGGAGGGCTCTGGAGAACAAGCCTGATGAGGAGCGGCTGAGGGAACTGGGCTTGTTTAGCCTGGAGAAGAGAAGGCTGAGGGGAGACCTCAGCACCGCCTCCAACTGCCTCAAGGGAGCTTGGAGAGAGGTGGGTGCTGGGCTCTGCTCCCAGCTGATGGGGGATAGAACAAGGGGAAATGGCCCCAAGCTGTGCCAAGGGAGGTTCAGGTTAGAGCTAAGGAGGAAGTTCTTTCCTGAGAGGGTCGTCAGAAGCTGGACCAGGCTGCCCAGGGAGGTGGTGGAGTCCCCATCCCTGGATGTGTTTAAAGAGCGGGTAGACGAGGTACTTAAGGATATGGTTTAGTGGGGAGACAGGAACGGTTGGACGTGATGATCTCAGAGGGCTTTTCCAACCGAGCGATTCTGTGTGTGTGATTTGGCTGTTTCGCAGAGCGAGGATCTTCTTCTCGTTACCATCTGCAGATTTTATGGCATGGGAGTGAGGTTGTTTCAGCGTACTCGCTGAGCTCCAGCTAAGCCGAACGTGGCCTTTCTCTTCGTAATTTGGTAGGATACATCTGTTTTCAGCCAAAAACAGGATATGGAAAGCCATATGGAAAGGGGGGTGTGGGGGGGTGGAAATCAACCAGATTTGCCTTAAGGTTTGGTCCAGGCCCTGGGTTGTTTCTGACTTTGAGCCTGTTTGCAATAATGAGGACAGCTGTGTGGGAGAGGTGGAGCAGCATGGCCTGGAAAGCTGTATTTTATCGGTCCCTTTTCCTCGGTTTTTTTCAATCTTACTACAAGTCAGGTCAGGGAAAAAATGGATTTTGAATGCTTGCACTTTGTGTCTTCTTTATGTGTTTGCCATAAACATCCTCTAGCCTTGCAAAACAGCTGCAAAACAACCTAGAAGAGCAAAGCCGGAGATAGGAGGGAAAAAAAAAAACCAACCCGTAATCGGGTAATAAAAACTGATCTGATTTTTTGTTTTAAACGTGGGTCAGCTCGGGGTCGAGCCGCTTTACCCATCCCTCTGAGCAGCGTGAGGGCTCCCGAGATGTTTTGCATGGATTTGCAGAAGTTGCCGAATTCTTCGTGTTGGCTGCTGGGCTGCGGCCGGGATCGCCAGGCAGGCAATGAGCTGGATAATTTATGTCGGAATGCCGCATCCGAACAGGCATAAAATTACAACTCATTACCGAGGAGCGGGATCTTGGGTTGCTTGGATGGTCCAGGTTTTCATAGCTTGGAAATTGCCCGTGTGTAACAACCAGCACCTCCTGCATTGGAGACTTCTGCTGGCCCAACACACAGCACCAGCCAAACGAAGGGAGGGTGTTATAACAGGAATCTGGGGAGAAACAAACTCCAAACAGGCTTTGTGACCAATTTGCCTTCAAAAAGGGGTTTGTTTGGTGACAGCACGCCCAATTTCGGTGCTGCTGGAGCTGGGGGGCGATGAGGGCTGTAGAGCATCCCCGGTGCGGGGCCGTGTTGTTCCTCCTGACACCGCCTGACCTTGGGTGGGACCTGGCTCATGGGGCTGAATGGGAAAAAGTCATCCCGAATAAACCAGGGGGATGAAGGGGAGGGATGGCAGGCGGCTGAGAGCACAGGGGCCAGCCCTATGGCAGGTCCGGTGCTTCTTGGCACAGGTTTGGGATGTGCCTGATCTGCTGGTCCGAAATCCATTAGATTTCAGAAAAAAAATGCTCCCTTCTCTTTGGTTGTACATTAAATACATGAAAAAACAAACTCATAACTCCGGGAAAACTGCACATCAACTGTGTGTTGATGTGCCAGGAGATGTGACAGTAGCCTCCACTCCTGCTGCTCCGAAAGTGATGCGTTCGGGAGGCCACATTTGCCATGTGAAGGGCCAGATGCCTGAAGGGGATGCCCATGGATGTGAAAGAGCTGCAAGCCTGTTCCTCCTCTCCCGTGAGCTTATTTTCTTCACCCTTTCCCTAGTGGAGAGCAGCTGGATGTGGCAGGGGCCAGCACCTGCTTGTCCTTGCAGGAGAACCGTCCTTGCACTGCAGCTGTATCCACAACTGACATGCGAAAGAAAACGAGTCCCAGATGTCTGGGATGACTTCTGGTATCAGTGTCCCCAACCTTTTCACGGGGTAAAAGGTGGCCCCATAGAAACTTCAGCAAAAAGCCCATCCGGCTTTAGGGTGCAGAAAAATTAGGGACCTACAAGCACCAAACATCCCTGTCTTTGCTCTGCTAAATCTACGTTGCTGGGTTTTTTCAGAGGAAAAGGTTAACTGAGTGATTCCATGTAAATCTTCCGCAGCTTGGAGGTACTGGCTTTGTTTGCAAAGTCCTTCTGTTGCTGCTGGATTCGTGCCACCGAGCTGTGTTGGGGATATGCGAAGCACGGGGAGATTTTTCTTAAATGTGATGGCCTGGCTGTTGGGAAAAGCTGGGAAAACCTCCGTGGTCTGGGTAAGTTCTCTTGAAAGTATTCACTAATGGGCCGACTGTTGAAGTCACACAGAGGTGAAGCATTTCAGGGAGAAAGAAATAAGGATAAATAAAAGCATTAATGCAGGAAGTCAACAGAGACGAGGGACTTTGTCCTGACTTGTCCTGGCCAGGCACGGCAGCATTGGGCTTTCCAGAGTCCCCCGTGTTCACTGCAGCGGCCCTGGAGAGCAAGCGACACAGAATCCTGCTTTCCCCCAGCCAAAAGCAGAAAGAAAATGGGAAGAAAAGGGAATAGCTTGAAAGAGTCCAGCAGGGCCACAGAGATGCTGGAGGGAGTGGAGTGGAGCATCTCCTGCTGAGGAGCGGCTGAGGGAGCTGGGGCTCTTGAGCTTGGAGCAGAGGAGACTGAGGGGTGCCCTCATTCCTGGGTCTCCATTTGGAAAGGGCGAGTGTCAGGAGGAAGGAGCCAGGCTCTGCTCTGGGATGGCCAATGCCAGGACAAGGGGCAATGGTCCCAAGCTGGAGCACAGGAGGTTCAAGCTGAAGATGAGGCCAAAGTTTGTGGGTGTGAGGGTTCTGGAGCATGGCCCAGGCTGCCCAGAGAGGTTGTGGAGTGTCCTTGTGTGGAGACCCCCAAAGCCCTGGCCGTGTTCCTGTGTGACTGCTCTGGTGATCCTGCTCTGGCAGGGGTTGCACTGGCGGAGCTTTCCAGGGCCCTTCCCACTCTGTGAAAACAGGGTGGGAAGGGAAGGTTGATGGTTTTTGGTGGTCTCCCCCTGCTTGAGTGTGTCTTGGAGCCAGTGTGGGGAAGGGGCACACAGGACACCCCTCCACTGCTCCCCAGGCAAGGATTTGTATTTGGTAAGGGGAAGGAGAGTGCTGGATGAGGGCAGCTACTCACCACCACCCACCTGCCTTCATGTGGCCTTTCTGCTGGCCTTGGTGACCTGCAGGAGAAGGACAAGGTGGCCCTACACTATTGGCACAGCCCAGCAAAGCTCATGGTAGGTCAATAACAAGACTTCACTGGTTTTTATAAAGCCCTTTATTTTTTTTTTGTCTTAAGGCTTATAAAAACTGTTACTCAAACCCAAAACGTTTAAAACTTTACATATGTACAATACGAGAAATAAATTATGTTTTAAGTCATACAAAAACCACAATATACAAATAGGGCTTTGAAAGCAGTCGAAGTATGGCACGGTGACAAGTCACAGATACTCCCCAAAGGCTTCAGTTATTGAAGCCTTTGCCTGAAACCATGGAAGAAAAAGGTCTCCAAATGTGCTTGCTTTGGTTGGATCGAAGCTCTACAAGAACTCGGAGAATCGCAGCCCTCAGAAGGGCCCGCCAAGCCTTCAGTGCACCCTCTGGCAGCACCATTTGTTGGGGTTGCCTTTCTGCATGCCAACAGTTCAAGCGTCGTTACACCAAGTCTCCATCCAAGAAGGAAAAAGAACAAACTGTAATTCACTCCAGACAAGATCTGCTCTGCTGTGGCCAGCGGGACAGCTGTAGAGTCTGTCCAACTCAAAATAAAGCCAAATGCGCCTGGCATCGGGGAATCCAACCAGGACGGTGTGGTGATGAGGGTGGGACTTCATCTGCTTGGCTCATTAAATGCTTTGCACAAAAATAAGCTCGGGTAATGACGAGCTTAATGACGCACGGGTACCACAGCAGCATCCGGACAGAGGCAATCGGTTCTCAGTAGTTAAAGGCCCGGTGCAAAGCTCTCCTGAAGGGACAGAGGCCATCACTTCTGTCCTGCAGCCAGCAGAAATGGCAGCCGCTTACAAAGAGATCAACGCATGGGACCAGACACATTTGGGCTGCAGACATGGACTGGGGAGCAAGGAGCAGCTGCCACCGCCATCACCTCCGCGGTCTACACCGTGTTCTGCCCTAGGACGGAGTGCTTCCTTCTTTAAGGTAATATAGAGAGGTTTCAGCATCAGCCAGACACAGAAAGGGTTATTTTTTAAGGCAAGCAAAGAACAACTTGACATTAAGTGGCATTGTGCTTATCCCCACCCCTCCCCTGAACAACCCCACACGCTTGACCTGCCCTGGTCTCCTCTTCCCACAGCGCTATTGGACCCATGGTAATCCCTACACCATGTGTAATTTGTCCTCTCAACTCCAGGCACTGCAGAAGATCATTGCTGAGATCGAGATCTCATCCGTCGTCCCGTTTCATGGGAGCAGGGCAGGAAATGCAGCGTGTGATTGGTCAAGGTAAGGTTAAATGCACAAGCCAGGCTCCTTAGGGAAGGGAGAATGTAGTTTTAGTCATTTTAGGTCTAGGACCATCAATTGCTCCTCAGTTTCTTGCAACAGATCCAAGATGTCCTGTTTGGAACAGCTACTTGCTTTAAGTGCTACCAAGCCAGATGTTTGCCAGAGCACCTTGCTACCTGCGTGGTCCTCCTGCATCTAGGCTGCCCAGATGTGAGTCTTCAGAGAAGTCTTCAGAGCAGATTTGAGACAGACCTGGGAAAAGCAGAGAGGCAAAAAACTTATGTAGTTAAATCCAGAAGTTAAGTGGAGTAATAAAGAATTCCTGAGAAACTCTGGGACACTGAGAGCAGGTTCAAGCAGTGCAGACGGGTGTTTTATGCTGTCAAAGCAGCATTTTTGCCCAGTAGCTTCTCACACAAGCAGGCTGCAAACAGAAATTACAGGTCTCGATGCCGGACCCTGCCTGTTCAGATCCATTTGGGGTGGGCAGATGTTTGCAGACCCCATCTCCAAGTAGGGAACTGTAATCTGCCAGCGACTTGGCGGGAATGGAGAGCTGAAGAGCAAGGAGTTGCTCGTGAGTTCTGGGAGATAGGACCATTTCCTAGAGCTCAGATCTGCTCCTCTGCCTCGTGCGAAAGCCGCACTCCATGAGGAAGCAGGAAGGGCACATCTGCAGCAATTCTGTTTTATGGGTGTTGCTGAGGAGCGTATAAAAAAAGCCTTTTATTGTACCTGCAGGAGCATTTACTTGACCTTTCAAGGCTATGGCAGGGCAACAAGTTGTTGCACAGGTTTCATTCACAGAGTTGTTCACTACTGTGCATAGCACAGCTCCCTGGTTCCTGCCAAACCTGGAACGGCACCGGTTCGCGTTTCTGAGCCGAGCTCTGCCGGCCAAGGCTGGGCAAAGCACGACTTCCACAGCGCTCTGCGAGTCCTAACAAGCACTTTGCTTCTGGATGAGATACGGCAGGGCTCTGAGTTTACAAATTGAAATTTGAGAGGCCAAAAGGCTGGGCTTCCTGTGAAGGCGAGGATGATTTAGTCACGTCACTTCAAAACGTGAATGGGGTGGTCTGAAGCACTCAAGCTGTCGCTGCTGGGACCAGACTTACTGGAAGCTGTGCTCTAAGGACCCATCACAGGGGTCTGGGAAGTCCCCCAGGGCTGAGACACACTGGCAGTGGCAGAGTTTGAGCCCTCCTGAACCAGCAGAGATCAGCACAGCCAGAGATGACGCAGGAGGAGCTCATACTGTAACACCACGGTGAGTCCTCAGCTGTGTCTTGCTCATGCAATTGAGTTCAAACTTCAAATCAAGAGACTTTTTGACAGCTCAAAATCTTCTGTCAGGCTGAAATTATTTTAGAGCCAACCTCCTGCACTCCCAGCTCTCCTCTGTTTTACAGGGCACTTAATAGATGCCTCCAGTCAGCTCTCCACTATTGCACAGATCTTGGGTATTGGCAGCTCCTCATTTTTAGGCCCAAGGGCGGTGTTACACCGATTTGGTAGTAAGCATGTGAAGGTACAAGGTGACGAACCAAGACTGGAAGTGAGGGTAGTATCACCTAGTTGGTGGTAGTTAAGGCATACATGAACATTAATCACAGTGAATTTGGGGCTAGAATTTTTTCACTGCTGCTTTTTTCTGAGAGAAAAAAGAAGCTCCAGGAATCTAAACAAAAAACAAACTGATTTTTTTTTCCCCCTTACCTTTTCTGCCAGTCATCTGCACACTTCACAAACCAGAGCTCTTTCCCAGGAGATATACTGGTTAGCTGGGAATCCTCCACACAGAAAGCAAACCTAGAAGGAATAATCTGAAGTCAAGAGAAGGCACCTGTTGTCTCCACAATTAACACATAACATGTAATATCATAGCTAATTCTAGGGTAAGTTGTTTGGTTTGACATCCTTCCTAGAGAACATCTCAATACACCATTAGCCTGTTGAATGCCCGTTTTATTTCCTACTTTAATATTTTACCTGGGGATCTTTGCTTCTACTACCCCTATGATTCGTAAACTAGAAACTAGGATGCAGAATACCTTACAGACGATAGGTGATGCTTATTTAAAACTCTGAGAAAGGTGGAAAAATAGTCATTACCAACTGCTGCTCTTTGACAGATCTGAGTTACCTGCAGAACAACGTTAACACAAGATTCGGGAGTGCAGTGCTGCATGCCTGGCAGCTTTACTACTTGTTGATATCTCAGGTAGTTTCCCAGCTACAGAGATCTCAGAAGGAGCAGTGAAGTACTTAAGGCATCACCACATCACCAGTTGCAGTTTTAGGTCTAGCTCATTGTGCCAAATCAGCACATTATGCATGTAAATCATAGCCATGCCCATCAGTATTTCAGTGTTTTTGGTGCTCTCAGTACTTTGGCACTTCAGGTATAACCTACACCATCTGGAAGGAGGCTAATTTAGTTCGTGGGGACAGGCAAGACAGTGTCACAGTAGCTAAATAAAGCAAAAGAACATCTTGGATCTGATCTGCAGGGACTGGTTTTGCTTAAAGCCTGGTTTGCAGCCTTGTGCTGGTCAATAACCCGCGCCCCTACGCCATGAGGGAGCATCAGCTGGTCACACCAAAGAGGAAACAGTTCGAGGTACCAGCTGAGTTCAAACCCCCAACTTTTCTTGCTGGATTCTGAATATTCCTCCTTTCGGTTGAAATTTTGAAACTCTCACATGCAGTCTAACACAGTTATTACCTCTGCTGCGTCTCCCCAGATTTCACACGTATGCGCCTGATGTGCAGCTCCTGGAAAGACTTCGCAGGCCGATACCAGTAGCTCTTCAGCTCTTTCCACAGATCGTACCACGACTGAGTCGTTCCCTCCCAGGTGAGCTTTATTTTTAAAAGCTCGCCCATGTCCTTTTCAGTGTAGACCAGGAAGGTGTTGGTAGCATTCAGGCCGATTTGATCAAGCCTGAAAGACAAGCAGAGAGTCAATGTTTCTTCCTTATGGAAGCATGCCAGATGCTCATTCATCTCATTCGAGGCATTAAACAGAGCCCTCTGCAGCTTATCAAGTGCTCCATGTTCAACTGTCACCAGTTAATTACTTTATTACACCAAAGAAAGTGAGCACAGATAGCTGGTGCAATGCAATGCATCCTGTTTTGGCTGTCACCCATCCATAGCTTAAAGGTGAATTTTACGCCTTGTGTTTCTTCTGGGAGAGGCTAAAGAAGGTCACCAACGCCTCCAGAGATATGGGTGCCTTCAGACCACATCCAAATGACAGAGGGCAAATGCAAAACAAAGTACTTCAGCAATGAGCCATAAAGGCTGCTATGTAGAGGGCTGGGTACATCAAATTGCTTTCTCGAAGATAAATCGTAATTAGGCTACTGGATGGAAAGTTTTTTGAATGGTGGTAGGCTGAGGTGAAATGCCAGTGTTGCAGAGGAAAAAGAGTGATGCCAACCTGTCTAGTCCCAGTGGCTGCCTCACCCAAAGCAAGCACAACAGGTCAGTTTAAATACTTACATTTCTAAAGAGAGAGGCTCGGAGTCTCCGTTGGTGCCGTGAAGGGTGACAGAGAAAGTGGGATCAGCCTCTCCCAGGCTCTTGTAGCTGAAGACGTGCATTTTCATCTGATAATGGTAGACTGGAGAGAAACAAGGAGAGCACAGATGGAACCAGCTTTGTTAAGAGACAACACTGCTCAGCATCACTGTGTGAAATAGGGTTGGCTGGCAAAGGCTAGACCTGGTATTTAGAGACACTATTGATCGCTTTTTCCTACCCTTACTGCTTACCAAGTTGATGTTTACACAACAACAACAACAGGTCCACGCTGGGGAGTGCTCCCCAGACCTTATGCTGTTCTAAGTTTGGGGTGGTTTTGCAAATACGACATCTGTAAGCTGTCATACACCTGCTCAAATGGCAGTGTCCTTAGGGTCAGGGTCCTGGTGCTTTTCCGTGGAGGAAGGAGCACAGCAATGCCGCAGGACAGCAACACAGCCAGGTCACAGCAAAAGACCAGCACCTGGGGCTGCACTGCTTTGAGGGGATGCTACTCTGCCACCTCTGCATGTCTCCCAACACTGACTTTGGGAGTCCATTCCTAGAGACGAGACTAGGCTGTAAGAGGGGCAGCGTACCTTTGAACGGCATGTCAGCTCTTGTTTTTAAGTACATCTTGCTGTTTCTCTTGTTGCGGGTCCTCCTGGCATTGTAGCCGATGCCGTTGCAGCGGTTCTTCCGGCAGCTCAGGCAGATCCCCTTCTTGAAGCGGCTGGAATCGGTGCACTGAAACGCGAAGCTTTGCTTGTCTTGGTTGACGAGGGAGTCCACAAAGAGGTGCACGGACCGCTCGTGTTCACATTTAACAACTTCACCGATTGCTAGAGGAGTAGAGTTGGAAGAGATGGGTTTTGTTTAAGCATTTGTCGCCCTAGCAGCTGGCAAGATAAAGTGAACTATGGCTTTTTGTAGGTCAGCACGTGTTGACCATGGCCTACAACATTTTTCAAGCAGCAGCAATTTAAGAAGTTAGTGGAAGGCGCTTGAAGAGGACCATTCACTTGGTCTCTACCATGAAAAGAGCTTTAAAGAGGATTCTAGACCCAGCATAACACCACCATAGTTTATGATCAGGTGTTAGAGTGAGAACAGGCTACTTCAGAATTAAAAGCAGGTCTGGTTTCTAGCAACTATCTCCAGCAGGACAAGCTGTTGAGAGGGAAAAAATAGTTTTCTCTGCTCTGGTAAATCAGATCATCCCCCAGCATCAACCCAAACCTATTTGTGAAGAGTCTACACTGACCAGAGACAAAATAAGTAACGAGAACTTACTCCCATAGGCAATCGCTCCCAAGACATCACTTAAGCCACAGCCAGGCTGGAAGTCTCCTCCATTGGGGTAGATGTCGAGGTGGCCTACAGGCATCTGGATCCCAATGCTAACACCTAGCGTTTCCCTCGTGTAGGTGTGAAGGACATCCACAAAGTTAGCATCGTCGGGGGAGAGGCGCTTGCTGGGGTCCACTCCTTCAAACATCGGGCCAGCCGGGTCCAAACCTGGGGTTAGAGACAGGATGTAACATGCCAGGTAAGAAACTGGGTTATTTCCTACCAAATATAGCCAGCTCTCCTAACCAGGTGCTGTACACCAAGACCTCTTCACCTCAGCGAGGGAAGAAATGAAGGTGTCCCGTATCAGTTTTGGTGCAATACAACCAGTAGTAGCACTGGTGTGCTCTGCAGCAATGGCTTCAGGTTGCTGGTTGTAAGCAATGAGTCTTTGCAGGGTCACAGTGAAGAAATACTTCAGGAGGTAGCAAGATGACTCAGCACCAGAAGAGGTCTAGCACCCCACAGAGACCACTGGTGGCCAAAGATACCTTGGTCACAGTCTGTTTTCAGACTGGACATACGGAAGGACTAATACAAGTTTAAGCAGCAGCCAGGTAATCCCTGCATCGGAGATCCCATGATGGGTTTGGGACGTTCTGTTAACCCTTAAGCCTCACCCCCAGCCTGAAGCTGTGCTCCTGAGCCATTCCCCAATTTGACTGTCAGGTGATGTTTCCTGCTTCACCAAATACAGACATTTATTGTGAGGCACTGAGGAACGCTCACTGCCAGCAGCATATTTAAATGCCCAATGCAATCCCTTGTAGCTCTCACTTACGTTAGTTTATGAGCTATAATTACAGAAGCAGCATCACTCAGAGGCTTAGGATTTGAATAATAAGAGCTCAAGCTGAACTTGTTCTGGACCCACATTTAACTTCAAATATACTCAAGATGAGGTTCAGAACCTCAGCAAGGTTTTTCATTGAACCCCTTGCCTTACATTTGGGGCTCAAAATTAAGACACTTTCTCATGGGAAGAGACCCATGCTCCCCACAGGTAGGAAACTTGTCATTTCTGACTGAGCAAGCCCAAAACAACATCGCAGCAACACAGAAAATGAGCATTTTGGGGGCTGCTAAGGAAAGGTAAGAGAATGCTTAAAAAGCCACTTGCCTGTAATTCTGCCTATCGTCCCATGGACGTGGTTCCCAGCAAAGCCAGCAACATGGGCACCCAGGCTGTACCCGATCAGGTGGACGTTCTCGAG